TAGCAGTTTAGAAGGGATCAGAAGTTCTTTATTTTATTCTCTTGTAGGCAGGAAAATTTCAAATTTTGCTTCTGTAGCAGCAATACAGTATAATTTTATTTGGATTATAGCCATACGTAATTCTTTTTGTGCAGAAGTCACTCTTGCAATTCTTAACTGTGCTTGGGGAAGGCCAGGCCCTGTTCCTGCAGGCTGGCCCATACCTGAAGCATCTGATTAAGAAGCTTGCAAGGAAATTAAAAGAACTGCTAACATTTTATTTAGAATATATTTCAGTGCAATCATTTAGCACAGACTGGCTGATTTGCCCTATAAATTATTATATTTTTTTCCATTTTGCTTTGTCATTTGCCAGCAAACGAGGAGGCTTTGAATCCGTGCTAGTTATGTAAGATGAAGGCAGGGCAAGTGCCAGTGAAAAGCTCTGGGGCGGCTTTGTGAAATGCTAAATATTCCCCAGGGAAAAGACCGAGGCCTCGATACCTTGCAGTATTAACAGCCCGGGCTTAGAATAACCTGTTTTGGAGCTCGATTTTAAAATGCGCTTATACGGAACAACCTACAGGAAATTTTAATGTCGTGGATGTGAGGGGCGAGTCGTGCTGTCTTGTTTGACGCGCTGTGGTGTTTGAAACATGAAACGAGATCCGTGGCAAAACTCAGGGACACCGGCAGCCCAGTCTCCTCTGATAAAGAAATCACTTTTCTTATATTCCAAAGGCGCCGGTGCCCTTTCATGTTTGTCGTCTCTTTTGCTTTTCTTCTGTATTGAGGATCAAAGCAGGGGTTTTTGTCTGTTTTGTTTCAGTGGCTTGAGCAAATGACTGGCAGCAACTCTGGCAGGAAAGGAGAGGTCTGAGCTAACGGAGCAGTCCTTGAAAACCAGGGATGACTGTGCTTTTATCATGGGATGTGTGTGTGGCCGTTCCTGCTAATAATTCATAATTGTTATAAGGATAATTCTCCAACTAGTGTGAACAGTTTGGGTTGTTACTCCGATTTTGGTGGTGTTGGGGAGGTATGATGAAAGGGAAAAGAGGGAGGAGTGTCACAGATGGAAGAAGGTGGACATCTAGAGAGAGGACATGTGTTTAAGAGTAATATATATTTCATCATCTAAAGCTTTTGCACATAGTGAACATGCCTGAGATCACATCCACCAGGCAGAGGTACTTTCGTTTATTTATTTATTTTCCACATAGCCCGACCGCTTCAAAATTACCCTTCACACCAGGAGCAGAGTACCTGATGCCTTGCTAAAAGTTTAATGAGGCAAAATGTCATATTTTTTAGGATACTGACTGAATTATTCAGGTTCAAAATTTTCTAGTTAGAATTAATTTATCTTGCTTTATTTTTTTTCTTTTTAAAAAGATACTAAGCATACAGCTGTGCATTGCTGCAGACTGCTGTGTCGCAGGCTGCTGTTGCACCAATTGCTTCAGAAAGCGCCTTGCTGGAAGCATTTTTTTATCCGTTATATTTATTAATTGAGATTGTTGAAAGAGTTCAAAACAAATCATGACCATGCTTAATTGCAGGTAAGGTTAAAACTTGTAGTCTAATAGCTTGTGCTGTTGCCTTGTACAAAATGAAGTCAGTGACTGAGTGTGTGCCGGGACAGAAGCAGGTGCGAAGACAAAAAGAAAACCAGTTTTTCTCCTGGAGAAGGTTGCCCACGTTCAGTCAAGCCACTTAAAATTCGTACCTCAGTGCTTAAAAATATTGATTTCCAGCGTTGCTGCGTCACATAGTTCCACATAAAACTCCTCCTCTCCAGTGTGTTTCCTTCTTCTTTAGTAAGCAGTCTTCTCTAGCATCTTTGCAAAATAACCTTTTATAAAATGTTAATATCCACTTAATCTTTCTGATTCGTAAGCTCAGTGCTGACTAAGACGATCCAGCTATTCTTCTTCAAAGGCCTCATTAGGTAAAGCTTTCCCTATGCGTGTTTGAACTCGGACCATTTAAAACTTCATCAAGGAGGAGAAATCAGTATTTGCATTGATCAGCAGCCCTGGAATTTGGGTCTGAGCTCTCGCTTGCTGGAGTCAGGGAGCCGCTGATTCCGCTGCACTTTGGCTGCATCCTCAGCCCCCTCTCTGACAGAGATGCCTGCAAAAAGTAGGGCAAGCCCCCAAAAGTGCAGGGGCCTTCTCACAAAAGCGCCAGTCCTTGGAGTTTGTTACTCATTTGATTATTACTCTTTGAGAGAGAGAGAAAAGGACGGCTCTGCTTTTTGGAAGTCAGTAAATATTGGTAGAGCACAGTATCTGAAAGACGCTGAGTGTACGTTTGCCTACCAGAGAGGATAACCACTCATTATTCTCAGTGTTCTCATAACTTGTTGAAAAGAGCAATCTCTCTTAAAATTTGCTGGTTTTTTTTTTCACTAAATAATAGAATCTTTCTTCTTATTTTTAAGAACTTTAGGTTCCCCAAATATTCGTACACTTAAAAGTGATGTCACCAAATAATTTGTATTTGACATTTTTCTGCATGATTTAATCGTCAGTGCTTGGGAATTATTAAGTGCTTTAGTTGTTTACTCTAAGCTATTGTAAGTTGTTATTAAACGTTTACAAACTATTTTCTTTTTTAAGTAGGAATGCTTGTATTTTAGCAAAACTTGGCTTAATCTGAACAATCCCACCAGGAGAGTAGGTACTTTCTAATAACTATTATTTCAGGTCACGTGCAGATAAGAAGAGGGAGAGAAAGAGGTGAGAGAGAGAACCTCACTACAGGTTCCCCTGTGCAATCTCAAAAGATCAGTTTGAAGTATTACAGGTTCTTCACAGGGAACTTGAGATGCTCTTTATAAAGCAATGGTGGGTTTGGTTTGATATCGAGGACAGGGGTGAATTGAAAATAAATTAGAATAATAATCATATCCAAAGAGGTAATTGAGAAATGCTGTGGTCTGCAAGCATCTCCAGGAGCTGGAATTCATGTTGCTCTTGTGTGAAGTGATTTGTCAGCTACACCAACAGGACTGTCTGTAATAATGATAAAACAAGACATTGAAATACTATCAAGTAGCAACCTTGGTAATGGCAATAAATCAGGAGGTACAGCTGTGGCCATTTTTGGTGAACAGCTCTGTCTCCATAGTGCCCATGGGGAAAAGAAATAAAAAGTTTAGGCAAGAATGGCTTAGAAAAATGGTAATTTGTGGGGCTACTATAGTTGTACTACCAGATAAGGTAGATCCAGCTTACTGAAGGTCATGCTAACATGAGGCTTTATACATGGTCTTTGCATGTGGCTGTGGTAGTGTTGGGTCTGCTTAAAAGAGGTGGCACATCTGTAGATACCTACGCTTCCTCCAGCATTCTGGGCATGGGTTGACCTTGGAGCACTTGCTGCAGGTTTAAGAAGACCCGAGCTTGGGGGATCTACTGACAGTCATTTGTAGCACACTCAGCCCCTCCACATCCCAGCTCTCCTGGGCACACAGGCTGTCGGGCACACAGTGTGTGCTTGTGGAGAAACTCCTGGATGATCAGGAAACCTGAGCATGGCCTTTGCCTCTTGCTCAGCTGTCTCGGGTCACTTATTGACCATTGCCCCCCTCCTCTGTGGGCTCAATAGGAGAACTCTTCAGTGAGGTGGCCGGAGTGGTGCTGCTGGTTTCCACTGGTGCTGTATCACATTACCCACGTGGCAGGTCATGTTGACTTGCACATGGGAAGCATCTTCTCCAAGTCATGCTGTGTCCTCATTGCTCTTTTGATTTGCTCCAAAGGAAAAATAATACACAGCAAGGACCAAATTTGGATGCACCCTGTTGGTTTGTCACCAGTATAAGTGAGAGTGGTGTCTAGAAGAGTATTCTTTGTATTTCTTTATTCCAGCATCAGATGGAGTATATGGAAGACAGGATGCTACTCCAAGCCATACCAGGTCCTTGCAGATTCTGCAGGGGCCAAGGGGGTCAGGGTGGGCCGCTCAATCTTTCACACTTAACAAGGTTCCATGGGGCATCTTTTCTTGCTTTCCATGGCTGATACCTATTTCATACTGTATGTTTGTGATTATGAACTTGCAGAAGTCTGTGTGAGTGCTTTTTACAGAGGCAGACTTTTCAGAGAGTTTGAGATTTGTGTCTCTGGCCTTGTCTTTTAAGTAGTTAGATGCTGATGCTGAGCGGGAGAAAACTGAGAGTCAAGAGGAATTGCAGGAAGCCCTGATTTATTTAAGTCTGTCCTACTCTACAGTCATCAGTCTGGTGCAGATGAGCACTGGGCTACAAAAGTAATCCTAAATATGGGACATAATGGTTTTAATCCTGGTGGTCAAGTGAGCTATCAGGGTTAAGTACTGTAGTTCCATTTAATTGATGGCAAGTGTATTTTGATGTATTTTGGGGAAGCTGTCAGTTCATGGCTTTTGAATGAAATGCTAGTTGGTACCGGCTGAGTTGTATGGCAGACTGCCTGACCTGTGCTCCTCGTGGAAGTTTTACAGCTTCCAGCTGTCATGAAGTACACTAAGCAGGAACAGCAAATAAAATACTGTTTTATGAATGAGTATCCAAAAAAGTGTCTTAACTGGAAACCTCTAATGTGTAAAAGGGGCAACAGGCTTGCTGAACACATGTTCTCTTGACACTCGCTCCTCCAGAGAATAAATATATTTTTTTCAGAGATTAGTATTCAGGGCAGGTCTGTTCATCTTATCTGTTAAATTCATTTTATTATATTAAAAATCATATTTATTTTAATTTGATTACAGAGTACGTAGCTATATAGGCATAAACCATTTATAAGCAGTAACTTTTGAAGCAGCATAGATAGGAAGGTCAAGTGTTGTACAAGCGAAGGGCAGGAATAAAAAAAACAATGTACTGGATCTGCAAATAGTGTCTGGAGCTAATTTCTGGTTTAGATGCTGACACAACCTCAGTTCTTAGGTCTAAAAACCAAAACTAAAAAGTTGCCAAAGTGAACTACCCTGAGCGTGCTAACCCTAACTCTGTTGTTATATTCTACTTTCAGAACGGTCTTATCGTTGCCTGTTACCAAGGTTATGTGGATATTGTAATAGCCTTAGCTCAATGCCCTCATCTTGATGTAAACTGGCAGGACAACGAAGGGAACACGGCTCTGATCACGGCTGCACAGGCAGGTAAGGCTCCTTGTTTCGCCTCTTGCAAACTGGGTCTGAGAGGAAATCTGCATTGAGGCTGGTTTTTTTTTTTTCTCTTCATTTTTGTCAAAGCTCTAAGAGACATAAGACTGCATAAAGTTATCCTGGTCATACCCCACCAATGAATTAACAAACCATTCATTTCTAGTAGATTAAATTATTAGTAATTTAAATAAATTAAATACTTCTAACTTCAAGATATGTTAAATTCAAAACAGAACTCATGCCCCAAACATGCAGCCCTGTACTTCCTTGTTCCTTTAAGTTTTTTGTCCTCTCTTTGCTCTGGCAAGTCCCAGTCAGCATTGTGGTGATATAATGTGCTGTACTAGTGCTCAGAACTTTTTCTCATATTTTTTAGCCTACCTCAAGAGCCTGCAGCAATTGCTGACTACAGGAAAATGTATCATCATTCAGAGATACTTTAGCTGCACATACGTTATTCAATCACTCCTTAGTTAAGAGCAAAAGAATACCTGTACATATATAGTCTCAGCAGGATTCAGTTTTCACCAGTGCTGATTTTATAACAGTTTGAAGGTATTGACTTTAGCCACGTTAATCCTGATAGAGGCTGAAGTGAGAGCAGAGTTCACCCCTGGGTCTTCTTTTATCCCATCTAGCGCGGTGATCTTCTGTGAACAAGTGTAGCAGCTCCTATAAGTGTCCCGGTGATCTCCCCCTCAAATCCCCTCCCTTCACCAGGAAATGAGTCATTAGCCATTAATTACCTTTTCTTCTTGGCCAGGGAGGATATGGGATGTTCTTGGGAGTGAGGATGCAGATCATGGGAGGGATCCTGGCTATTCTTCCCTGTTTGCGTGGAGGAAACTAAATGGACAGACATGTGAGCAGTGACTACAGATTGAAGTGGTTAGGATTTGGTTTTAACTGTTATTGAATTGTACTGAAAAGTGAAGTCTGCCACAGAAAACACTTTGAGATAAATCTTAAACACTAGAAGAACTGCTAGCAGAGTTGCCCTGTTCGTTGTGAAGCCAAGGTTACAGAATCTTTCTCAAGAAAATTAACAAGTAAGTCTTCAAAACTCCAACCTACTTCTATTTATCTGCCAGAAAATAGACTGGACTATGAAAGGTTTCCCATTAACACCTTCTAGACATTTATACTTAACAAGCTCAGCTTTAATCCGGAGGGCTGACATTGACATGACCCCGTCTGTCAATACCTGCCGCTGATCCCCAGAAGAATGGGAAATGACTGTAGTCAGCAGGAGCTTATACAAACTCACAAGGACTTGGATGTTTTCCTCTGCCTACGGTAATCCTGAGCTACAGTGGTGTCAACACCGGTTATTTAACTCATTATCACTACATAGGAGAGGTGGAAGTAATACAGATTACTGCACGGTTATCACTCTAACCAGAGGACTGAATTCCAGGCTGGTAAGAGTCTATTCCTCTTCAGCTGGTTGGGCAGTGCCAGCATTACCTGCCAATTCTTGGCAGTTTTGATAAAATGCTATGGCACACTTACAGGTCCTGAGTTGTATGAGTCATAATGAAAACCAAGAAGCTCGTTTGATTCTTCCTATGAAGCCTACAATTTAGCTTTAAAAAGCTGCTTGTATTTATTACTAGTGAAAAACATTGTCAAGAAATGATGCTCTCTGCTTAACCTGTGGACGCCAACTGCAGTCAAAGATACTCCATAAAGAGTCCAGACAGCTCCATAAAGTTCCTGGAATTCAATCCAAATCTGCCATTTATGAAGAAATATTCTCATGAGTTTGCAGACGGAGCTGAAACTGGGATTCAAATTGTTTTTCTCTTGGGGTCTACAGAAAAGAACAGCTACAGAGGTCTACGGAACTGTGCTGAATTTGGAGAGGTGCCCCGAGAATGAAAGCTTGTTAGCCATGTTCACAAGCAACTGCTAGCTCAAAAGGTGTCATGACATACCAGAAAAAAAAAATCTGCTGGCATCTGAAAGTGTTTTTGAAGGCCACCTTTGCACAACCTAATTTGTGCAGGTTAGTTCTCCGTAGCTTCCCTGCTGTGTTGATAGCCATTTTACAATGTTCGAGTACATAGATACAAGGAATTATACTCTCTAGTTTCTTTCATTTCTTCTTCAAATTGAGAGCATTTGGGATAATGGCTCTCTCCAAAGAAGAGAAGGAAGGTCAACAGGAAGTAAAAGCACAAAGGCACTTCTCAAAGAGCTACAGTTATCACTAAGTAAAGGAAAGAAGGATAAATGGAAGGAAAAGGAAAGAAGGAAGGAAAGAAGGGAAAAGGGAGTGGAGGAAAATGGCAGTAAATAAAAAACAAATGATAATTTTTTTTCTAAATTGTCCATTTTTAAAATATGTTTGGTGTCATAGAGACCACTTTGGGGCAGCGGTGTACAACCATGCACACAGAATGACAGAATAGCCCGATTTCTTTTTATTAATGAGCACAGGAGAGCACAATCACCTAGAATATCCAGATCATAAAAGACACTGGCATCTTCAGTTCAGTGAATACTTCCCTGGCAGAAAACATTTGCTCCACATAGACAAAATGCAGCCTTTGTACAGGCACGATTCACTGGTTAGATCATGAAGTTGTGTGCTGGAGCATCTTCCTTATTATGCAGATTATCCTTCTGCCTCTATTACATAGATTATTAGGTAATATTGTAATCATTATATGTATTTCCTCTTTGGCAGCAATTAAGTGAATTTAAGCTACATGCAGACATCTGTCCTTATCTCTAAATACGGCTCAGAGCACAAAGAGCTGAAGCCTTAGCGTGCTTGCTGTGTTACAAATACATCTGGCCTCGCTAACAGCCGGCACCTGATGCGAATTCAGGATGCCCCAAGCGGCCGGGGCCGGGCTAATTTATTTCAGCTTTCGTAGCACACTCCAAATCACCCAAGCCTCACCTCGTTTGTGGTTTAGATGCGTGTTTTCAGGTTACCCAGATGCAAGGGAAGTGAAGCAAACTTTATGGCCTTAAATCAAAAGCGTATGGCACAGTTTGAACCAAAAAAAAGAACAAAAAACAAACAAACAGAAACTTGGCAGCTCTGAGTTTTGCTTTGAATTTGAGGTTTGTTTGAACTTGGAATTGGAAGCAAATCTCAGAGGACTGAAGCTCCTGCAGATTAAAACTGGAGCGGTTTGCAGGAATCTCTGTGATGCAAAACTTCTGAGAAACACAACCCTTTTTTTTTCTTTTTTCCTTTTTTTTTTTTTTTCCTGATTTAGCTTTAGTTTTCTTTGTTATTTTATTGCTGTTTTTTTTTTTCAGTGTCACTGGAGACTCTTTGTAGTCCCCCAAAGAGCATTGCCTGAGCGAGCTCTTTCAGGATTAACTCTGGAGATCATCCTGGGTTTCCAAAGTATCTCTCACTGTAGCTCTCCTTTCAGCAAATGGAGGAACATCTCTACTCGTGTAATAAATGGTGGAGAATCTTTCATCTTAGCATTTCTCCTCGTTTCAGTCCCTGGTCACAAAGCAGTATTTTGACTATTCCAAAACCTTCAAGGTTTGGACACTGCATGTACATGGATGTACATGTTGGTCACAAAGACCCTTCCAGTAGTAACTGGTGTCCTGTTGGGATTTGAGCTGATGTCATAAAATCAGAAAGGCCGAAGCCTCTGGATTTAGGAAGCAGGACTGGGTCACTTGTTTGTGACACGAGGCCAGACCCCTTTTGCGTTCTTCAGCATGTGGCAGTTTGCCTTAGCTTTGTATTTCTTTTGCATCAGGCTGCCCAAGACACAGGGAGCTCCTCAGCTGGCCTCCTCTGGCTCTGGCCCTGCTGCACTGTCTCTACATCTGCACCAGCTTTGAGAAGCTTCCCAGTCATTCAGCAAGGTGGCAAAGTGCAGAATGCAATTGGAGACAAAGAGCAAGACCAATCAAACATCTTGGGGTTAAATATATGTTTTGAAAAACATTGTTGGAGATCTTCTTAACTGCTTTTTCACAGGGAATGCAGGACTGTGTTCATGCTAAGCAACTGCTGATGAAAGCTGCCACCAGATGTGCCACTCTATGCTTTAAAAATTGTTCTCTCTGAATTATGGTATGCTTCAGTATCATTTCTAGAGGAATCTGAATGACATGCATCACAGAATATTCAACTGGACTGAAAAATGAGAGAAATTTTTTATAGCTCACAGTAATTAAATTGTGATTTTTGCAGCTGCGTGACAGACTGCATTATAAAGCATCAAAACAGCATAAAAATGAATGACAAACGAAGGGGAAACTGCCTTGAATGAGTCATAATGGCACTAGATATTACATGTCTTGTTCTGATAGTGCAATTTAGAAGGTTTGATGTTTGAATTGGACTTCCAACCACATAGCTAGAGATAGCTTTAGCTTGCTGACACCAGTCAATCCTGGCTCACAAGGCAGGTGAATGGCACCAACAGTTGCTTTGAGAAACAGAACTTGAGTCATTTGTTCTCCTAAAGAAGAAGGGGAACAGCCCCTTCTCCCATTGCTGGACAGGTGACAAGTGGCTTTATGCTGTCAGATGGAAAAACAAATAAAACAGCTTTATAGGATGCAAAATATTTCTTTGTCTAGCAGCAACCAAGGTATTGGTTTCATAATGTCATTTCCTGGAACTACCACATGTAGCGCCTTTCAATAAGCTTAGTATTTACCAGGGGTAGTGGGAAAGCTATGCTTCTGCCTTTAGGTCCCACCAGTGATGAGCCTTCCAAAAGCTGTAGAAACTCCCTTGGGTATATTATTAATTTTCTGTGTTTTTAAGTTCTCAAAACTGTAGGAGTGATTCATTTGTAGCTGTAATTTCCAACTGCCCCTTAATTTGATGGTGTATTTTCTCTGCTTATCTGTTCCTTTGCAGGACACATAACCATTACAAACTATCTGTTGAACTATTATCCTGGACTTGATATTGAGAAGAGGAATGTGTTTGGATTTACCGCCCTCATGAAGTCTGCGATGCAGGGCCGCACTGAGTGTATCAGAGCCTTGATGCTGGCAGGTACCTCAAGGGCTTCTCTGCTTTTTCATCATCATCTAACTGCAAATACTAGATGTTCACACATCAAAAAAAAGTTTCTCAGAGTTCTTACTGTCTTTTTACATGACACAGGGACAGGAGCAGGAACACATCATTGACAAGTCATACACTGTGATGGCCTTTTCTACCACCACATTGCTTGCTTTTCATATATTAAATGAGTAATAAATAAACAATACATTAATTAATAGTAATTAATATTTATAAAGAGCAAATAATTAGTACAAATAGGTAAGGAAATAATATAGCTATGTTATTATTATATTACCATTGTAGATATTTAACACAAATCAAGTTGCATGGAAATGATAATAGATTGCACTACTATTATCATTGTATCATATCATCATGATACAATGATAATAGATTGCACCAAGAATAAGACAGATCCTCATTTTCATTGCAGAGTTTAGACCGTGAATAATTTCAGCCATTTTGCTGTCGTGGAAGCCTCACTCTTTAAGATTTAAATGTTTTAAGTGGACAGGCATTTATCAAGCATGACGATACTATGTTCTTCCATTTTCATAATATCCAGTTTCTAGATGTTGACATGACATAGCAAATGATCAGGTAATATAGTAACTGTTACATTATTTTTTGCAGTGTTCTCTAGCCTTTTATACTGAAGTCATTGCTTTGAGTTCATATCACTCATTTGGAATTAATTTTTTTTATGAAGTTATAAGATGACTGTTAAAGCTAGAATGCTGCTCAGTACAGATGCTGTGCAGTTTGTGCAGATGCCAGCTCAGAATTTCCAAGGGCTAGTAATAAATTGACAATTACAATGAAACTTCAATCCCAAGACCTTATGACTTGTCAAGTTGACCTTACAGTCTCATGACTTTCTATTATTGTCACTGAAGATTTGATGGAAGCTTCTTCTTTCTGTTTTGGTCCCTTAGAAGTTATCCCACAACTTCCAATCTTCCCATCCCTTGAGGTAATTCACTCTTAGTTATTATACTGTTTGTACCAAAAAAAAGAATACAAGGAGAAAACAAAAGAAAAGAAAAAGTAAGTATCAAAGTTCAATGTGTAGTTGCTGCCTCTGGAATCTCCATCTCCACCTTCTCCATTGTGAGTCTTCTACTGGCCTGCCTGTGCATTAGAGACAGTGAAGACATCAAAGAACATCCATGGGCTAAAAAGGTATAGAGTTAACATACAGCTAGTGTACTAGAGCTAATACACCCAAACTGAAGTTTATTTACAGATTTTACAGTTCTTTGCAGGCTTGTACATTTTCAGCTCAAAATATGCCCCCCAAAAGCAGTGTGGTAAAGAACACATAAATGTTCTAGTTTGGGGGATTTTTTTTTAGCACTCCACAGTATATGGGAAAGGAGCTGTTGGAATGGATTTATAAATACTTTGTAGTTTAAGGGGTAATCAGTGGCTGCTAGTTTGCTGAAGAAGATGAAGAAAATGGTTATTGAAAAGTGTTGACAAAACAAAAAGGAAGGTCTCACAAGCAGAACGGCTTCCAAAGTTCCAGCAAAATTTTGTATTAAGAAGTAAGACATGGAAATACGGGCAGAAACCAACCACAATCAGCCATGAGCTCTTGCATAACCTCTTACTTCTATATAGCTAAAAGCCAGTGTGTGTGTGTGTTTAGAAAGGGTTGCATCAAGGCAGTCTCAGATCCAGAGTCTCTTTGGGGGTTTGGGTAAGATCTCCAGTGACTGGCACCTCCTTAGGGCAATGCAGGAGGACAGTAAAGGAAAACACCTCAGCTATCAAGCTGCATCAAGTATGAATTTAGCGAATGGATAGGGAAGAGGTTAAGCATAACAGAATGTTGGAGCTGGATTTTGAAAGCAACTGCTCTTTCTGAAACTTGAGTTCCCTGGGGGATGCCCAATGTCAGTCACTGCAAGATTAAGGCACTCAGAGATACTACACACTTGGCCAGAATGTTTAATCTTTCAAAGTGAGTCTTGAGAACATGTGAACTTGCTGTTTGTGAATGCAAAATGAGTACGAGAACAAGGCAGTCACTGATCTGCAGTTTGCCACAGGCTGTGAGGCTGCTGCTCTCAGTAGTTCCCATCTTTGGCCTAGTCGTAATCTCCGGTGTAGACTCAGTGCTCCTTTACTGAAATCACTGGAGGGGCTGTAGCTTCAGGGACTCTGGGGTTTCAGTGCTATGTATAAAATAGCTCAGTAGCAGATGTGTGCCTTCCACTGCTCTTTCAGTCCTCATCTGAAAAGTCAGTGTTCCCCAGTGGGTTGGCCATTCAGTCTGCTGTCTTCACTCACTGCTTTTTAAATATCTACCCTCAGCCACCTTCATCAAGGCCCTCCTGATAAAGCTCTCTTGGGTTTTGCTTTTTCCCTCTCATCTGATGCTTATTCCTCAAGCTCCTGCTAGAAACTGTCTAGCCCAAAGGCCTACTTAGAGTCCTTCTGCATTGTGAGGGCAAGGAGAAAGAGTGCAGTTTTCCCCCGGGAAACCTGATAGGGTGTGCTGGTGGCCTCAGATTCAGCTGAGCTGCACAGATGATGCTTTGGTTTTCTGGTGCAAACATATCACCAAGGATGCTGCTTTGCATCTTAGGGGACATTAAACCTTATCTTAAGGGACATTAAGCCTCTTCTACAGCATATCTCTATCCTAAAGTGGCAAGTGTATTCAAACTAGTTGTGTTGAAAAATGATGTTCAGGGCAATCTGCCCAGGAAAATTGGAGCTAATGACAGATATCTTTTTTGTCTAAGAAAACCTATAGGTTGCACTTACAGTAGAATGACAGTTCAATAAGACTGCTGTAACATTTTGAAAGGAACAGGTCTCATCCAGATGAGACATTCTTCTGAATGCCAAGATTGTTTAGCAATGTCTCTGAGTTTGTACAAAAACCATACCATGATAATAAGCCATGTCTTAGAAGAGGTTTTGTGATCCAAGGAACAAAGTCAGCATTGATTTCTATTAAAAGATCTGGGAGAGGAGAAAGTGGCTGAACATATGGCTGATCGGTGTTTTGGTTCCACCCATCCTTCACTGATATTTGTCTGTAGCTTTTGTTGTAATTAGCTTCTTCAGACCTTGCTGTCTTTGAGCTCTCAGGCTTTCTTAGTTCAGAGTTAATGAACTCTTTTATTTGATTAAATCTTCCTCCTCTTCGCTGCCTCTCTGCCTTTCAGGCTGCGACTCATTCTTGAATCCCTGCAGTATCTCAGTCTTTTGTCTCTGCAAACTTCATTTAAACTGAGGTATTTCTCATCAAACTCTTTACTTTGGCAGTCTCCCTCCACTCACACTGACCCTTAGACTATTTCTCTGCATCTTCTTTTCATGACTTTCCTCAGGAACTCAGGAATCAACTGGTACTTAAAAGAGTTAATACTGAGCTTCTGACCACCTACCCTATGCTCTCCCTTTTGCTAAGATTCTTCCGTAACAACAAAACATCTTTTACCTGAATTATATATAGGAGCCATTGCAGACTAGTTCCTGGTTGCCCTTTCTGATATCTAGGCCTCCCCATGTCAGTTTGAAATGTTGTTATCAAAATAATCCACGATGAAAGAATAATTTATCATGATGTTTCTCTGGCCCTTACTGTGTGGACAACTCCATCTTCCAAGGCAATGTGACAGAATGTCTTTTCTTTTGTGGTGTAGGTCAGTTTTGTGTTGGCTGTTTGAACATGGTGCTTGCGCCTTGTATTCTCTTGGCTACTTTCACCACTAGTGAGCAGGGAGTTGATGTTTTCATTGGCCTCTTTATTGTTAGTTCTAGATCTCTCCTCTGAGTGGCAATGATGAGTACAAGGCCCATCATTCTGTAAGTGGAGGATTTTTTTATATCAAATTGTTTCTTTCCATGTTCACGGGAGTCTTTCCTACAAACATGACTGAATAGATTTTAAAATATCAGGTGAAAATATCAGGTTCATTGCAGTTGAAATTCTTTTGTATCTTTCTGTGCATTGTTTTAAAAGAATTTCATATAGGCAACTTTATTTCTTATATTGCTTTTTTTCATATCTATCAAGAGTCCAGAAATTCAATAACCACAGTCTCTCCTTATTGCGTTTTGACACAAATATTGTAGTACATCATGTAGGATATTTTCTTGCCAGGATTTACATGACACAGCTCCGATCATGGCAACATAAACATGGACACCTCATTAAGTAACGTCAGTGGTTTTTCCTTTCTTTCAGGGGCGAATGTTCATGCAACAGATCCAAGCCGTGGACTGACCTCGTGGGAATGGGCTTGTTACACGGGAAGGTCGGAATCTGCCTACATCATGCAAAAGCTGATGGACAGGCCATGCCCAGAGCAGTTTTGTGATCAATATAAGCCAGAATGGCCAAAGATGAAGGAACTTCTTGCCAAGGCTGCGGAGCCAAAGAGCTGCTTGCAGAGGGTTACGGAGTGCATGAGATCTGCGGTCTCATTCCGGTCTTTCCGTGGCCCAGAAGAAGACGGGGTCCTTGATCACATGGTCCGCGTGACGACAAGCCTGGGCAGCCCCTTTATTGCCCTGTCCTGCAGGACCGTGTGCCCGGGCAGCCCTCCCGCGGTGGGCAAGCGCAGGCTGGCCGTGCAGGAGATCCTGCGGAAGCAGCGAGCCGAGCAGATCCGCTCCCAGGACAAAGACCACGTGAGCAGCTACGAGAGGCTCTTCCAGAACTCCAAAGTGACGCTGGTCCGCAAGAAGAGGGACCGGCGGGCCAGCCTGCAGCCCGGCAGCCTGGCGGTGCCGCCCGTGAGCACGGTGGCCCTGCGCAAGGCCAGCCTCCTGCCGCTGCACCTGCTGCGGCGCTCCAGCGTGCGCCCGGGCTTCGTCATCCCCAAGGTGCGCGTGAGCAAGGCGCCGCCGGCCACCTTCCAGCCCGAGAGCGCCAGGCGCCGCAGCAGCGCCAAGGACGACCCCTACCTGCAGATTCCCAAGTGGAGGTACAAGGAGCTGAAAGAGGAGCGGAAGAAGGCGGAGGATGTGGAGCGGAGGAGAGCGGCGGAGGCTCAGAAGCACAGGCAGGCGTCTCCGGCCAGGTGCAGGACCTGACTTGATGGCGGCGGCACGCGGCGTTTTTAGGGCTGCAGGCCCTGTAGGCCGGGCAAGGCATCAGAATTCCCGGAGTGGGAATGCCGGGTAACGGCCGGGATGGTGCAGGAGCAGCGCATGGGCTGCGCTGCAGTGTGTCTCGTGAGGGCCAGAGGTGTTTGAGCTGGAAGACGTAGGGAGAGTTTGCGTGTCCACTGTTGATAGCAAGTTTAAATGGTGCCGTGCTTTTGTGGTTTTCCTTTTTCCCTCAGTTCCAGGTGAAAGACTGAAAAAAATAAGGCTTGAAAGTAAACAAACCTATGTGTGAAAGGGTCATATTTTGTGTTTGTTTGTTTTGTAACAGACAAAGTTAAGGAGTTGCGTGCTTGACACTAGGTATTCTTTCCTCTCTTTGCCTAGGTAGAACTACTGCAAGGATTTATAGAAACAATGAGAGGTTTTAATTAAGCCACGGTGTTAGTGGGCAGTGAATGTCCAGGTCTACAGGTGTTTTGAATATGCGAAGCACTTTATGGCTTTTTAATTCCAATAATCAAGATTTAAGCTATAGGTTAGGTATTAAAATGTACAGCTCTTACAGTCTTTATGGATGCAGCTCTTGATGCTGTTGTTTGTTCTACTGAATATAAAAAGGGCTGTATATGAAACATTTCTGCAGTGTGAGGTGCTGATATCCACTGCAGATATAAATCAAGTGCAGGGCCTGATTTCTGTTACAGCACCAGAGCACATGAGCCAATTTTTTTAATGCCACGGTCACCTAAGATTTACCTCCCTCATTAAGTTTCTTCATATCTACTATCTGTTGTCTCCTCTTTAGTCTCAGGGAATTTTTTGTCATTGTGTTTAGCTTTGGAAGAAGGGAGGTGGTGAACCGTAGGCAGGCTTTTTTGTTGTTGTTTTTGATATTCAAGTTCCTGTAAAAATCAGACCAGGTTTACTGTGAACTTCACCTCTACGACTTTTGCAGATTATTGCCAGGACAGGATGATTATGCAATTTCCAGAAATTTAACTAGGTATCATGTACATCCATATGCCATGAAAATCCAGCCAAAGATGCAGCATTAGGCAGCTCATCCACAAGTGTTTGGACACCTTGGCCAGTCATCACTGCACGCTTTCATCTTATGCATCTGAGTGCCTGGAGAGGACAGCACCTCACGACTCTGTCTCTACCCTGGGGAAAAATACGTGTTCCTCAATACTGAAGCTGGAACGGGACCTGGCCATGCGGTTCCACAGATGAAGGCTGCCGTGGCCACTGTCCTGATCCAGGCCCTTTCTGGAGACCGTGTTGCTTCTCAGAGAGGGAGGACATCCCGCCCATTTCATAGCAACTCCCCCATCCCCAAGCTTGACTTCAGCTGCCAGATGGGTGAAAGGTAACTTAAGGCTACAGACATTAAAGGCTACAGAAATGCAGCACTGGGTGATAATGAAGGAGCACTATGAAAAGTGGCAATTCCCATAGCTTGCTGCAGGTCCTATTGGGCCATATGAAGGCTGTCTTTTGTTTTACCAGAAGTTGCTCATGCTAAAACCTGTCAAATTCTGGTAATGAAGGGCGCTGTGCTTGCTGCTTCAAGACACATTCGTGAGGACAAAGGAAATACAGGAATTAGCCTATATTTTTGCTCAGGCTTTGTGTCTACTTGAAAGGAAATGTGCTGGTTTGTGTTCTTATCCTAGTATCACTATGTTGAAGTACAAGCAGAGCTTATCTGCTGCTGATAACATGAGCAGTGTACATTTTTTGGAAAACTAGGCTCTTACTGGATTTTGTGTGACCAGAATATAGGGCAGAAGCTGAAATTCATTCCATGTGGGGAGAGGGAAAACAATTTCTAGCTCTTTGTAGCGAAGCCGTTAGGATGGATTTTTCCTGTCATATGCTGCTTTGATTGGTTTAACTGGTAATTTTTGTTTACTGTCAGCCCGGTGTACTTAATAGTTAGCATTGAGATCCAGCAAAAGCAGCTAGTGCTGCAAGGTGACCCCGTGAATTTGCACTCTCGGTATCACTTGCAAGAGGCTTGTAGTTGACAGGTGCTCTCAGGGATTAATGTACCATACGTTGGATTAGGAGCTGGAAAATGAAGCCTCTTTTCTAACCCTTTGTACTTTATTATGTATATGTGTGTAAATATGTGACACTTCCATTAAAAGAAGCACAAGCTGTAAAACTTGGTGGAAACCTTCATTCTTCAATGGGTTTTGGGCATGTTGTTTGTGTTACATCTGAAACTGGTTTTGGTTTACCTGGGGGGAGTCGATGTGTGAATATTTCTCTACAAATAAAAGAAAATTGCAGTGTTTGTCCATACTTTGGGTTTCAGTTGGGGGTCTCTCTGTGGAGACTACAGTTCCTCATAGGACCTGCAGTCATGTTTTTGTTCTGCAAGTGGATAATCACCTGGTACCACTAGAGACAGTGACGCTGAATTTTCTGTTGCTGTTTAAGGCTTCAGACCTTGGGGGCTGCCCCTTACTGGTGACCTGCAGCCATCCAATGCTCAGTGGGGAGACAAATGGGCTGAGTCACTTTAGCAGCAAGCAAGACGAGAGTAAAATAACGATGATGGAAAGGGAATTCCCAAATGCTTCCCAGCCCATGCTAAAATGCCATCGTGCTCACTTTTCTCCTCAAAGTTATGTTATGGCAACAACGAGACCATGAAGCCCCAGCAGAAGCCTTTGTGGGCAGGAACACGGGCCCGCATGCAGCAGGCTTGCTGTGCCACTGTATAGTGCTCATCTGCTCTTCATGCTAATGGAAACTGTGCCTTAAGCCATAACAAAAATCCTCAGTGGGCATCTCCATCATCCCCATCTTCTCAGACTCAGAACTGCCTGATGATGTTCACTGACCCCAGCCGTAAAGTATGACAGAAAGAATCACAAGAGGTGGGAATTGCGTTACATTTTCCTTTTATTCTACATTAACAGAGGTAGAACTACAAGCCATGCAGTCATTTGGGTCATCTAAAGAGCCTGTTCATTACTTTTGCTTGCTGCCCACTGAGGGTATATTCAACAGAGATACCAGCTAACAAACCACCCACTAGTCTTCTGAAGGCAAGCAAAAATTGGATTGACAGTTGTGCACACACTCCATATAGCACATTTTGCAATGAAATCTCTGATTTCCCAGTCCCTGAAAACTGCGAAACAAATATTATTGGAAAGTACCCTGGGCAGCTGGAAGAGTGGACAGGTCAGTGACGGGAAGAAGGAAGAAAAAATAATGTTGATGACTCATGCAGTGTTTGTGATTTAAAACAACATGGGCTTCTGCCTCCATTCCTTTCTGACTACTATATAGACACAAAAGCAGCAGCAAAGGCTTGGTCTGATCTGCCAAGGAATATTGTTATTTAAAAAGAACACGATTCAGTGTGAGCCTCCTTCAGTCACTCCTCAATTTTTGGAAAGGGGCTTTCCTAGCTATTCTGAGTAGCTGCTTTTGCTCACATCTGCACACTTTCCTGAGGGCAAGGTATTTGCAGACCACATGCAAGCATATTTACTTACTTCATTTGAGGTAATGATATAGACATGAAAATGGTTTAAGCTGCTTTTTATTTTGCTAAGAAAATCCTTACTTTTCCGTACTTACACTAGAAATAAATGAGCCAGTAACTTGGATGAGGGCTTCAACATCCCAGCAGTCTCTTTGTCCAGCAATGACTTTGGACAGAGACCTGTAAGCAAGTCTCTGAGGTTTAGATGGGCACAGGATTTTTAAGTTCATGAGAGACATCCCTTTTGTCCCTTTGTGTCCCTTTATGTCCTGATGCTAAACGTGTTCCAGACTGTCCTGCTCGGGGGGTTGATGCAACAGGCAGCCCAGCACAGGCTGCTCGGAGCATGCACATGGATCAAAAAATGTAAATATGAAACAGACCCACTCGTAGTAGGAGATTTCAAGCAATTGATTTCTGTGTTGACATATTCCTACTAATGCTCCTTCTTAGATGAGTCCAAGGATGCTCCTCTGTGTTAATAATATGAACCATGAGGTCCTTTCTTGGGTGATAAACACAAATCAGGGCTTCAAATGTGCTACGGCAGAGACATGGGTTCCTCAGAAATGCCACTTTTTGGTTCCAAAACTTGCCCAGAAATAGCCCAGTGCAGTCTGCTGGATTCTTCCCAGGAGCTGTAAACATTTTCCATTTGCAGGTCTGGGCTTGCAGAATGTGGCATGGCAGATGCGAAGGGCCGACGTGCATTGCTGTGGAGAACAGCAGTTTTCCTTGGCAGATTTCCTGTGTAAGGCTAAATATGGCATTTAAGAAAATGCGAATCCTTTTGCTCCGTGACTGTGGACCGGCTGTGCACTGACGAGCATAAATGGCTCTAGCCAGAGCCGGGCTCAGACCACAAAATGTTTTATTATGTTCAGTAAGGACATCCCAGACCTGACAAGTAGAGTGCCCAGAATGAGTGAATATCTTCATTTCCTAGCTGTAATTGTCAATAAAATGAAATTATATCAATTATATGTGATACTAAGTTAATTCATATCTGTAAAACTACCTGTAAGTAACACAATCATATAGGTAAATAATTTTACATAGAATTATATAATAAAAGTATTTTTATCACCTTATACGTTTAATATATTATGTACATTATACGGCGTTTTAATATATATGTACATATATGATGCATTTCATATTAATACAAAATAATATTTGTATATTTTTAAAAATGTACACATAAAAGGCCTCTCGCCTCACAGTGATGATGTGCCCCATGGAAATGTGCATTTATAGCCAAAAATTTGCACAGGGCAACATTAGGGAGCACAGGCATTTTCGGCACGAAGATACATATGCCACTGATAAGTGACTGATAGAATAAATATTCTATCATTCTAAGCAGAGCGAGGGTTGCCTCGTGCTTGTTGCCATTGCACTGGAGTGCTTTGCAACAGGCCCTACTAGGGGGATGTTCTGCATTTCTCGTGTTGATGAGAAGCAAATCAATGCACTG